ACACTACGTCATCACATCCCCTTTGCTGGGATCATAACCACAACATAATTTGGGTAGAGTATCCCTTGTACCGGAGCACTCCCAAATGCATAACCTGTGTACATACTAACCATTTGACTATTCCAAGGTCCATTCCCATTAATTAGGACTCAGTGTTTTGTCAAGTATATCATATAAATAAAAGGGCTCAAGATTTGAAGCATTGACAGAGTTATATTAATTTTTTTTTGAAAATTTTGGAAGAGGCACTAGTACCTCTCTCATGTGGTACCAGTACCCGAGCCTTCTGCCTGTCAGGTCCCTCCAATGTGTTAGGTACTGGTAAATGAGCCCACTATTTGATAGGTACCAGTACTAACTTTTTGTAGTACAGGTACCTGAGCCCACTGTCCATCTTGGTACAAGTACCTAAAGTCTTGGTACCGGTACCTAAATCCATAGGAATCCAAGGACTCGTATCCGTATATCGAGGTACCGATACCTAGACCTTCCAACAGTGAGGTACCGATACTTAATCACTTAGGTACCGGTACCTAGGCCTAGTTTTTACCCCAATCCTTTCCATTTTCAATTTCAACTCATCCAATTTCATTATGAGGTTATTCAAACTCATATAAGATCAAATTGTGCACAAAATATAGTCCATATGAATTCATTATACAATCCTTTATACAACTTTGCAAGCCCAAAATAATTTATATTATTGATGTGCACGTAATGTTGCCTATTTAATGGTCTCATTACATGCATTTTAACTCAACTTTGCATTTAATTACTTAGAGTTAGTCGAATTTATGAATAATGTTGAAATTTTGATGTTGCAGGTAATCATAGGGTAAATGATGGCTTTCGGAACCCTGCAACTAAGTGTGGATGAGTGTGAATAGATGGACACATTAAATGAGGATTATTAGGATTCAAAGTGAAATAAATTAAGGAGGTAGTGGAAATTGGTATCATAGGTACTGGTATCTAAGCCTACTGGAATTTTGGTATCGGCACTTGCACCATTTGGTAGCAGTATCTCGGTTTTCTCCATTTTTGACCATGATCCACTTCGAATCAGAAATAAAACACAACATAAAAGTTGTAGATCTGGATTTCCTATATATTGTGTTAAAATCTAAGCTCCATCCAACGGTCGGATCAAAAGTTATAATAAATGTATGAAACCTAGTCTTGAACTAACATCCCTCTTATGACCTACCGGTAGAAGGAAATCAAAACGTACCGATAGAAGACCCTACTGGAAGTTTTCTACGGGTAGAAACCCTACGACCTACTGGTAGAACTTGCCTAGAAAGCCCAAAAAATTTCCAACACGACTCCACCAACCACGGGGCTCACCTCTTGACCTCTAAACCATACCCTGACATGTTAGACACACCATGATGGTCTCTTACACCCTAAAGTCAGATTTGTAAGAGAAAAGCATGGGATGGGGAAGAGAGAGAAGAGGAGTGGATAAGGGAAGCATGGAAGAGGCATGTTGGGTCTGGGGTTGCTTGTGGCAGTGTCCATACTCCCTCCACTCATTGCAAGTCAGCTCTCACAGACCATGGGGAGGGCATGGACGAAAATGGAAACATTTTTACACCAATATTCAATAATTTCATAGTTTTAGAGAGAGAAAGTTTGTTTTTTGCATTTTCTCATCCATTTCAGTTGTAGTAAGCTTCATTTTTACTTGTAATCTTTATTTCTTGCACTTCAATCTCATGTATTTCAAGTGTAATTAAGTTTAGTTTCATGTCCTTGAATTTCTATGTTTACATTTGGGTTTTCTTTCCAATCTTTGTTGCTGGGTATGTAATGAATTCTGTTTTGTAGTTTAACTTTTTCTTGCATCAATACACGTTCAAAGCTTTACTTCATCTCTATTCTATCTCCATTTCATCTCTAGTTCATCTCCATGTTTCTTTACACTATTTATGTCTTTGCTTTGAATATGGGGAGCTAAGCTTTTTTGTTGGCCAATCCAAGGGGAACTTCCTCTTGGATATGCTAAATTAACTCTTCTCCATTCTTCCTTATAGTGTAAAGTGATTGATTTGACTAAGTTGAGTGCAAACGTGGTTGTGAGCTCTTGATACACCGTAGACTTGTTACGGGGTATGCTTGAGCCTACATTCCACATTAGTCTCTCACGTCCTACGAATCAATCAAACACCTAGGCACCATTGGTTGAATGAGTTGAGTTGATTTGACATTCCTATTGGAATGACCTTTTGGATTATCCAACCTTGTTTTTATTGCATTTTATCAAAAATGTCCACTCACCAAAACACAAACTCACAATATTTTACACTCTTCATTTCTTTACAAAATCACCTTCCTCACAATTCAACCTTCCTTCCCTGAGGAGACGACCTTGGAATACTCAATTCCAAGTAAAACACGACAATTGCAAGTCTCTCTATGCTTGGGGAGCTTTTTTACACACACACAAAAATTCTTATCCACACACACATTTTTCCCATTTCTAACATTGAACTCGAGGGAGAATGACACTGATATATCCCTATAAGCCATATACACACAACTGGGATCTTGTTTGGAGATTAGGGTGAACGCAACCAAGCAATCATTCTGCATTCAATGCTCAAATTCCAGCTTCAAGCCTTGTGCAGCTCATAATCATATTCTGGAAAATGAGGCGTGGAAAAACGGCAACAATTCTGTCAAATAACACCAAAAACATCATTTCAGTCCTTCGGCCTTCGCAAACAAACAGTCCTCCAACCGCAGTAATCCCGCAAAACATCAATCAGTACCGTAAAAGGCTCCAAATATTACTAAGTCCCCAGCAGCTACAGAGCGGGGGATAAAGGAACAATAGGATTACAACATTGCAGGATCAATCAGAATGCGGGGACGCAGAGCCTTTAAGAGAGAGGGGGTGCGGGAGCATAATACTTCAGAGTAGTGAGGCCCAACGGTTTTTCACGCGGATTTTACCATGGTGTGCACCCCCCTTAACCCCTATTATGTAAGGGGGATCTTCGGTGGGATAAAAGAGAGCGCGGGAAAAGCAGCTACAGGTACAAGACAAAAGAAAGAGTGGCGCAAAAGAGCATTCTGCAGAAATCAGATCCTGCAAAAAGTGTCAACTTTTCTGTCCAGCTGAAAAATGAAATTTCATACCTTAATAGCTCCAACAAGCGCGAAAGCCGTTGCTTCTTGCTTTCGAGCCCCTTTGTTAAGTAAGATAGGGCATTTGCTTAGTAAGTAAGCTTTTATATCTCCTCAACAAAGGCGAAAGGTTTCTTGCTTGACTTTGAGAAAGAAGTAGAAAGAAGCGCCTTATTATATAAAAAAAAGTAAAGGCGCGTTAGTGCTTTCGTTTTCAATAGGGGGCGGAGCTTGAAAAGCGAAGTGTTCCTATCAGAGAAAAAAATNGAAAGAAGTAGAAAGAAGCGCCTTATTATATAAAAAAAAAGTCAAGGCGCGTTAGCGCTTTCGTTTTTTTATATAATAAGGGGCGGAGCTTGAAAAGCGAAGCGAGCCTATCAGAGAAAAAAGTGCTAGTTGTAGCGCGCATTTGACTAATAACATAGAAAGTCAAGGCTCTGGGCAACGAGTGGGAGGGAGCCTTGACTTGAGCATTGTACAAGTGCTTAAGGCTTATTCGGGCCATGGCCACAACTATCATATAAGGCAAGGCTTGGAAGCAAGCTACCAGTGCCTATTGGCGAGAACTGGGCTTGGCTTGGTTAGTAGTGCCCGCCCCCTTGTGTTTGGGTTTGCCCGCCTATCGACCCATGAATTCTTCAGAGCGGGTTGGCAAGCCGGGCGTACGGGGACAGTCGAAGAAGTGCCTCAACGCGCCGCAGCCACTATTTTGACTCCTTTTATGCAATTATGAACTCCACAGAACTTTCTCGATTCCAACGCAACTTATCCTTTTGGAGTTGACGTAACAAATTACGTGAGCCCCCCAACGAAGCCAACATAAATCCGATCCGAATAAAAAAAAGAAAAGGCAGTTTCATTATGGTGGTATACCAGCTGCCTGTTCTGGAACTTCTAGTTCCAATCGGAGCATATAGATCTGTAAATAGATTTGTATGTATAGCCACTTCAGTTGTGCTCGTCGTTTCTCGAAAGTATATTTTTCTGGGAACATGGTCAACCAGAAATTCTTATCTTTGCGATTCTTCATCCACCGATGCAAAAAATGCTCCAATTTTCTATTCTCATATGAGGTTGAAAAGTTTATTGGCAACATGTCGGCACGAAGTGATTCATCATACTCAAACATGAGCCGATCGTTCGTTAGGGACAGTTTATAGATCATTAAATTCCCACAAATAGAATGAGAAGTGGGTCCATGTAAATGATCAAGACCTCGCAAACAACAACGCTCCTTCCCCATATGGAGTTTGGGACCCAAAGGCAATCGTTGAGTGAACTGTATCTTCTTTGTGTTAGTTGACCTAAGCTGCACCCTTACTGCTGGGGTGGGGCTCGGCCTCCGAACCGTACGTGGGACGAGTTTCTGCCTCATACAGCTCAGGCCGAAGACTGGGAGAAGTTTAAGAGAGATGGGGAGACCTAGCAGCTGCCGGTCGGGGCAGGGATAAGCTTGCTTCTTCACAAGCTTATCCCCCCAAAAAAAAACCGACCCTATAGCGCTAGCGCTTCGCGTTCTTTCTATTCCATCCCATTCCGGGATAGGCGGCTAATACTAATCTAATAAGTGAAGTAGTCATCGTCTGACCAATCGGCTTGGACACCAGACCACCCGTGCCCGCCCATTTGTCTCACCCTAAATGGAATGGCTCTCTTAGTTACGCTATCCCCTGACCCAAGTCCCCACGTCTGCTTTTCTCTGCCCGCAACCCAAGAAGTTGGCTTTGCTAACACAACATTAGGGCCGTCCCCTTCATTCTATGCTGACCCTGGCCCGGGCTGGCTTTTTGGGAAGCTCGTTCTCACCTCGCTCACGGCCCGATTGGCCTGTCNAACATTAGGGCCGTCCCCTTCATTCTATGCTGACCCCGGCCCGGGCTGGCTTTTTGGGAAGCCCGTTCTCACCGCGCTCACGGCCCGGCTGGCCTGCCAGCGGTAGTGGGAATTCTCCCGTTCCCTGGTCAAAGACTTGGTTGGATGCGGGATCTACTCCACGAGGAGCGGTACGGACGTAGATGATATCATCACGAACTCTCTTTTCGTACCGTAGGGATGCTTAATGCCACTTCGCTAACTGGCATTACCTGTGCTTTCGTGTCTCTCAGTGTGGTCAACACTAGGTGTTTTCGAGCAGCGAGGCTTACACCTATTCGCATCAGTTCATCCAAAGTTTCTTACCCTTATGCACGAATTATTGAATAAGCCATCTTCCTATCAAGGTTAAGGAGTCAACTGAGCATCTCAGCTGCGGGATTGAATACCCGGATCGAATCAGAGTTCACGCCGCCCGCCCTGAACAAATAGGAGGCGTGGGCCACAGGTTGCACATAAGCCGCCAGGTCGCACGACAGAAGAACACCCAACATACAGATGCACACTCCTCTATGTGAAATATTCATCTTCATTAGAGCTTTTTGGTAGTAGTCGTGACCAACAGCCATCAGCTATCGGCTAGTTGGTAAGGTGAGAGCTTCGAGCCCGATTTCTGGTGGCGCACCCCCCACACAAGCACGGCCTGACGAATGGGGGGACGGGGAAAGCTACAAGCCCAAAACCTTCGACCCTTCTTTCTAAATGGGGGTGCCTGGGGCACCTTATCTTGTCATTTTGTCGTTGCTCATTTCCTTTAGGTCGAAGTGTTTGGCCTTTCCTTCTCCACGCCCGTTCACGCTTTGCTGACGTATCGCGTGGTAAAGAGAAGACAGTACAANTCATTTCCGTTAGGCCGAAGTGTTTGGCCTTTCCTTCTCCGCGCCCGCTCACGCTTCGCTGACCTATCGCGTGGTAAAGAGAAGAAAGTACGAAAGAATAGTAAACGGAGCACACCGCAGAAAGATTCTAAATATGAGAAGTCCCCCTTGGATTCGAGAAGAAGGAAATGCAGAATGGGAACTAAACAAGATAAGGCATTTCTAGCTCTAGTTTTGGATGAGCTTCTCCCAATTATGTCTGGTAATAGAATAGGGCTTGCTCTGACCAAGACTCCACTTTTTTCTCCGTCCGTGGAGCGTATGAATTTCCTGGAATGTAGATAGACCAAAAGAGGGAATGAAGAGATAGGAATAGGAATTATAGTACCATTGGAAGAAGGGGCACCTGTGGGAACATCTCTACTGACGAACCATTTCAATAGTACGAGTGCTGCCGTGCCACGAGGCACGATCATGGAAGTAATGAAAAAGATAANCTGTGGGAACATCTCTACTGACGAACCATTTCAATAGTACGGGTGCTGCCGTGCCACGAGGCACGACCATGGAAGTAATGAAAAAGATCAAGTTATGTAGTTGGACCATCTGTTCTACCCGTTCGAGTTTTGCTTCTCTAGAGAAGATGAGACGCTAAAAATGAAAGTGTTCGCAACACATACCGAAAAGGGTACTAATTAAGCAGACCATTAATGACTAGTTCGAACACCAGGAGCGGTCTGATCAAATAAGTGATCAGACCGCTCTTAGAAACATAAAACAAAAGCAAACTCTCATAGTTCGGAGCCCAGCTCCAACTACTTCTTTGTAAGTGAGGTGAGGTACTTCTTTCAGTTTTCATAGGGGTCGCCCTTTTTTTGGTTAAAGTAGCCATGACTTTGGTCGTAGTCAGTTTAAAGACATAAACCCAGTCCACTTGCAGCTTGATCAACTTGATCAAAATGACTAAGTTTAATGACTTTACTAGTCACTCGCCCTCGTATTAGAAGATTATCTCACCCTGTGGTCGACATTCCACTCCCCTTAGTCGTAGGTGCTCGTTCTATTTTTGTAGACCGGATGGGACCTAACAAACTCTCTATGTTCGTATTTGCAGCTAACAAGTCAGAAGTGTCCCCTGAGTCCGATTTAGCTGTTCTAGTTCTAGTTCAAGACAGGACAGTATGAGACCTGTTGCTTAGGGCTTTGCAAGCGAGCAACCAACCCGACAGAATTAGATCGGAAGTTTCTTGTTTGACAAAGGTAGCGTTAGCTAAGTAAGAGTAAGTAAGTAAATAGATCAGGTTTAGCGGGCAAACACGAGTGTAGCGATAGAGCGGTTTAGTTTATGATTCTATTCAAACAGGCTATTGCGCCTAAGTAAATCCCTCATATCGGCTTGCTATTTTATGATTGGAGACACAACAAGTAGGTGCGAAGCCTTTAAAAACCCAAACAAGCTTTCTTCGTTCGCAATAGGCTATTGCGCCTAAGTAAATCCCTCATATCGGCTAGCTATTTTATGACTGGAGACACAACAAGTAGGTGCGAAGCCTTTAAAAACCCAAACAAGCTTTCTTCGTTCGCACCTTTTAGCCTCTATTACAGAAGTGGAAGGAGCTGCTTTTAGGTTACTACTAAAAAGAGGTAGTTTGCTTTCTTGCTAGAGTAGGTATACGCG